GGGATGGGGCCCATGGGCCGAGAGAGCGGGCGTGAGTGGCCCATTAGCCGTGGACGGTCGGGGCGTTACATATATATTCAACAGGGGAACCATCAGTATGCAAGTGTTGCAGCTGTGAACAGTAACGCACCAGTCAAGTATCCAAGCTTCAAGGCTCCTACGCCTAGCTTCACTGATGGTACAAAACATAGCTCCATAGGTAAAAGCTAACGATTACGTGGTTCAAATTCACCATCATGATAAAATTGCAATAAAGCAGATTAATGAGATTTAAAATAACCTTCTTCTTCTTCTTTTTTTTTGTGATTTTGCAGATGTTTTTTCTCTCAAAGAAGACCGTGGAATTGATAATTCTCTAGTAAGTTCTTTTGTAGTTTAACATGATATTATTGTGTTGCGTTATATAATAAAGTGGGATAAGTCTTACAAGCTCTGCCATTTTTGTATTAGGTCCAAGACGTGTGTACTATCTCAGTCTTACCTGATGAAGGAAACACAACCCCACAATGTACCTCCCAGTATACTCTCTTGAGCTTTGTCAAGGCTCTGCTTCCTTCTGAAAACCAATTGTTGATTGATGCCCAACTCAACTGTCAGAAAACTCAGAACCGCATCAATGTGCTACTTGGAGGCACAGATTCCTACCAATCATGTGTTGTGGACATAAACGTTGAGAAAGGGAATGGTGCTGAGGCAAAAGAAGTTGTTGCGAGTCTCAAATCCGAGAGTGTAGTAAATACTCTCTATCTATATGTCACCAAAATAGATACATATGCTAGTTTGCTTGGTCCATATTCCAAATGCTTCAACTCTTATAAGTGTTTTACAGCATATGCAAAAGGTACTGCAGAGACAAGCAAGCTTGAGCACTGGTAAAGATAATATAAACATTTAGGTAACGTTTCTTAATTAGCTGTATATGAAATAAATCTTGAGAATATTATTATGTTGTAGATAAAGCTATATCTGAGAGATGCCATGATGCACCAACAAACAGGTGGAGAAGATACAAGCGTGCTGCTTCATTTGATTCTAGGAAAATCGTCATCCTCTTCTCCATTTTGTACGTAATACTTAACTCTACATCGTATAAGTAATTTACATAACGATGCATATTTCACTATGAGTGTCTTGGATTATGCAGATCAAGTGTGGGAACACTGATATTGATCTATTTAGAAACACATTTATCAGCTACTAATGCTATCCAAATGAAATTTACTCAATGTTCTTATATGAAAATTTGAATACAACATTTGTATGTATCATTTATAAAATAAAGAAAAATATATTATTAGTTTATTTTATTTCATAATATCATAAAATTATTTTTAAATCCAAAAATAAAATTTATATTTTTAAATTTCGTTAAAAATTAAAATAAATTTGTAAAATAATATTTCACATTTAAAATATAATTAAATTAAAAAAATTATATAAATTAAATTGTGTCTTAAATTTGAGATATTTTCTTACACTAACAATGTTTTAATTGTAAAATTGCTTTTTGGAGATACACATAATCTTTTATATTATTAACCAAAATAAATTTTATATTATTCTTAATTTTATATATTAATATATATATTACAAATATATTCAATATATATATATATATATTACTGAGAAATAAATATATTATATATTAATTTGGATAATAGTTTTAAATAGCATTATACTATTACTTTATCAATCATTTTATTAAATTTGTATCATTGGTAAACTTCCCAAAATATTTTACTAAAATTCAAAGCTTCTCAAAATGAATGGTTTATGAATCAATAAGATTTATAAGAGTTTAGATGATTCTATTTTCTTCTATTAATTAAGAAAGCGTGCTAAGAAAAAAAAAGTAATAAAGAATCAAACTTTGGTCTAAATTATATCTATCTCACGAGTTTCTTACACGATGATGAATCAAACGAATTACAGGATCATGGTTTTTGACTTACTGTCTAGTAGCTCTATATCATTTTACTACATTGTTTATTATGTCTCTACGTTGTTTATGTTTGCGGCTATGTGGACTTTCTTTTGTATGTCTCAAAGTATGATCATGATCAAATTCTGGCTCTCATAAAAAACACTGGAGCCTTGTATATGCAGGTGTTGATGGATCATGAGCATGATGAATACTATGAAATAAAATACGCTAAATCAGTAATCATTTCTAGTACAGCGGGTGGGGATGCAACACATGTGTTCTGCGGGGAAGATTAGCCCATGTTTAGCTAAGGACGAATTAACACTCCTTATACATTCCCTTTACAACATTTGTTCTAATCATAAAATTCGTTGATATCGAGCTGCAGATGATGGCTATGAAAAAATAGAATTATCGCAACTCCAGATATCATTCCGTACGTGTGCCATTTTCTTATATAGAAACTAATCATTAAAGAAAAGCATAAACACGAAAGAAAAAAGCAGAGAAAACAACAACATGGCGCCAATCTGGGACTCGAAAAACGAGAACTTGTCTCAACTTGGGACTAGATTTGGGTGTTCGGATCAAGTTTGGGTCGGTTCTTTTAGACATTGACAGATGCAGAGCATGAATATTAGGGACAAAGTCCCACATCGAAAGTTGAAAGAGATTTTATCTAGTATATAAAGATAGATGGACCACTCAACTTATCACCAATTGGTTTTAGGTTGCAACCCCATCTAGCTTAACATGGTATCAGAGCCCGATCCATAAAGTCCAACCCGATCCGGCCCAAAGTTGGCCCATAGATCCAGTCCAAAGTTGACCATCGATCCTTGCCCGAACATTTCGAGATTGATGCCAAAGAGCCATCATCTCGAAGGGGCGTATTAGGGACAAAGTTCTATTTGTCCTACATCGAAAGTTGGAAGGGATTCTATCTAGTATATAAGATAGATGGACCATTTGTCCCACATCGAAAGTTGGAAGGGATTGGTTTTAGGTTGGAAACCCATCTAGCTTAACAATGAAAACATATTATTACGAATATAGTATACGACGAAAGTTGGAAGGGATTGGTTTTAGGTTGGAAACCCATCTAGCTTAACAATGAAAACATATTATTACGAATATAGTATACGATGATGCATGCAACCCCAGAGAAAGAAGTACATTATTCCCAAATATAGCCATATGTATCAAACAAACAGACATACACACCTTTTGTCAACTGACATGGTATTTAAACGTGAACAGTGGTCGCATACAAAACCTCAACCTTGGCACGCCTGAAGGCACTATAAACAGTGGCGACAGCTTCAGACCACTCGATCCTCCCCCAAATCTCACCTTCCTCCTCACGTCTCTCCAATGAAATCTCAGCACACCAAATATCTCCCCTAAACCCAACCCAAAAAACCACAATGTTCAAACCAAAACTGCTCAACTTCCTTACACGCTTCCTAGCCGCAAAGGGCCTGTTAACGTTGTTCAAGCCAGAGAAAACCTTTTGTAAAGCCTCTAAACCCTTCACTCTCTTCCACTCCCACTCCTCTTGCTCACGCCAAACCACATTCCCAGCTTCATCACAACCATATAACACATTCTCTATCACACAATAGTAGTTATTGACTTCTTCTGGTGTATTATTTCTTCCCCATTCACGTTCACGCGGCGAGTAGCATAACAAGCTTCCATTCCAGAAGCCCACTCCGTACACCTTCTCATCCATCACTAGCGTCTCGCGCATCACATTATCACCTTCGCTCGGATCAGAAACGGGCTCAAAAGTTTCCCACATTTGGGCCTTTGGGTCGAACACCTCGGCCCAGTTTGATGAATTTAACTCCTGGCAGCCTCCGAAAACGTATATCTTCCCGTCTACGACTCCAGCAGCAGCTGTAGCACGAGCAACCGACATGGAAGGGACTTTGCGCCACGTGTTGGTACGACAATCCAGAAGCGATACATCGGAGGAGCGAACATCACCGTCTTTAAATCCACCGATTACGTAAATGCCCCAATCCAACGGCACGAAAGAGGAGAAAGTTTCAGGTTGAGAGGGGGAAGAAGGTATAGGAATCAGCTGCTTGGAGGTAGCGTCACGGTGGAGGAGAAACCAGTTCGGGGTTGAGTTAGGGTTGGTGGTTAAGCACACGTAGAGACACTCTTCAGTGCGACCTAACAGCGATCGCGTTTTGTAGAACTCTTGCGATGCCAATACAGAGTTGTACTTTTTGGAGACTAGAGACAAGGAAGCGTGATCTGATCTTGGCAGGAGAGCAAAGCAGCTCATAGCTAGCGTATCTGGCAACAAGGTCAACGGAAAGGGCGGGTACGCTTCCTCCTTCGCCGGTGGATCTTCGGTGGCGGAGATGGACATCCTAGTTTTTTAGTTTGGTAAAGGTGAATTTGGAGAGGAAGTAGCAGCAGCAAACTGTTTCAGTTTGGTCAAGGTTTTTTCTTTGAAACGAAAATAGTTTATAAAAATGGGTAAACAACAACACTAGCAAGCCCACTAAGTAGTTATAAGGCCTATTTTGGCCCAACTATTTGTGTTTGCCAAAAGTTATGACTTCTGCATTTCATTCTCTGGGAAATGTGATGAATTGGAGTAGTTACAAGGGAAGAATGAGAAAACCCTTGAACACCAAGTCTGAGTTTCCTATTACTAGTCTAAAAATAATCAAAGTCAATATCCCTTTCTTGGATATAAATTAAGATTGAATCATATTATCTTTAGTGAAAAAAAACGTGAAACAATTAATTACATTTATATTCTCCAAATCAAACGAAACCAGTAACATTCTCTTCTGCTGAGAAAGAATCGAAGAAACTACACACAATACTTGTGGTACAAGATTGCTTGCATTTTGCATAAGGTCTAATAGCTTTGGATTTCTTATTATTGTTTTTAAAACTATGTAAGTGTCTGAGTCTACTCTGTTGTCTGCTCGATAGAACGTAGCTCCCAGTTTCCTTCTCCATCAATCAGCCTTAGCTCCAATGAGTGGAACGGGATCAGTGCCGGACGCTGAGGTAAACGAGTAATGAGATTTTGGTAACAGACTTAATGTGATTTCATGGTCATATGAATGAAGGGGAAAGGAAAAACTTACTTGTGATGAGGTTATAAAAGTAACTCCCATGTCTTTTGCAACCCTGTAGAGCTGTTCCTCAACATCTACACTCGTCGCACTGTAAAAACCCAAAGAGCAGATATATAAGTGAACAAAGTTGATTGCAAACTACATTAGGAGAAGAAGACTTTGATCCATATTACTTGGTGCATTCGTCAAGGATTCCAAACTTTGGTCTGTGAAAGAATAAACGTGCCTACAAATACATAATCATTAAAAAAAACACGGATTAATTATTCACGTGAGTCATAAAACTATATTGGTTGTTGCGTCTACAAGAGAAGAGATTTTACCATGCCCAGTCTCTGTTGCTCTCCAAGAGATAATATGTCTTCCCAGTTGGTACTAGCATCCCACCCACTTTCATCCCTTTCCAAGAGATAAACTAATCGAACATTCTCCAAGATGGTTTTCAAATGAGCATCCAGAATGCTTCCAGCTTCTGCTGAGCTTTCTCCTGTTACTTACAGCAATGTAGCGCATTAGAGATGATAGGGAGATTATCAAATAGCTCTACAGATTGTGTGCGGAGAGTATTGATTTGAGAATCAAACCCGACTTTTTGAAGTAAATGACTTACCATTGGTGTAAAGCTTTGCTGCCCTTTTTTCTGCTTCTTCTTTAGATAGAGGGTATATAATTTGATCTCTCAGCGTCCCTAAACATGTATAAGGTCGCTGAGGGACAAAAAATATACCATTCCCTGATCCAAGTTCTTTGATGTCCAATGATGGTTTCGCAAGTCTTCCACGTACAGTGGGCCAGATATCTCTAAGGACTCTAAATACAGAGGTCTTTCCACTACCGTTTGGACCTGAAATTTTTGCTAGTGTTAGCTTTGGGACTCATGCAATAAGTTCGATGAAAAAAGATAAATTCACTAACCTGTGACGAGGAGGCTTTTCCCCGAAACTATTTCGCATGACAACTTGCTAGCCATCAGTTTCTGAGCAGGGGTAATGATGTCCACCTCTGAAAAGGAAATTCGATCTTGAGCATCCAAACGGCTTCTGTGATTATCTGAGATAACACCTGAAAACAGTAGTAGCACAAAACGAATATGAGCAGAGTACATTTTCTATAACACATGGCTATGCCTAATAATTTCTTTAAGCATATAAGAACGCATCCAGCAGAAATCGAGTAGCGCCTTGCCAGAGCGTGAACATATACTGTAGTACCTGACTGAGAAGCATCCAAAAACTCATCGAGCTCAAATATTCTGTTAATACCACCGGATAGCTCAAGGAACTTCTTGTGTAGTTCAAGAATGTCACCAAACGCCATAAAGCTTTGAGAGACAACGGAAGCTAGATACCGCAGTGCATGTGCCAATTCACCTGGTATCAAGACATCATGCAAGAAAGCGTTATATAGAGAGAATTTGCAAAATTGATTGGCTCACGTCGAAAAGTATGACAGATGTTCACCTTGAGTGGAGACAAGTGCTCTGTCTCCCTTGTGTTCTAGGGCATACAACAAACTCAATCCCCAAGTCACATTATTGGGAAGCTGCTTTGTCACGAAATCATCAAGTATGCCATACAACCATTTCTTCTTCAAGAGCATGAGAGAGTGGTCTAGTAGTGCCCTGAATTTTGTGTCAACCATCTGCTCCATGAAAAACAAAGACACATAAGGGGGGGTTCACCTATAAGACGTGTTAAAGCTCCACGCTCGCAAGTGAAACTTCATATTGCATGAAAAGGCTATCACCACTAATCTCCATAGAAAAAAATCTAAGAATATTTATTGGCTTCCACTTCTTGTAGCTGTTCTTCACAATTAGATAGACCAAAATCCAAAAGTTATGGCTTGAGAAGTTACGACACTTACAGCTTTTTCTCGAGCTCCACCACCAAAGAAGGCAATGGATTCAGCATGCGTGTTCAGCCTCTCGTGCATAAACCTACATAAGCAGGAAGAAGTTGGTCCAGCGCAATCATCTGCAAAGTGGAAGAATCGTAAAAAAAAACTACCTAAACTTCCCCTCGAGTTGCTGTTCTTCACCGGCTAGATCACCAAAGTCGGGAGCAACACGTCTAAGAAAACCCAGACCAAGTAACATATATGTGTAAAGTATGGCAACTCCTCTCTGACCAGTCAATAGCTTCATCCTCCAGGTGAACCTTCAAATTATTATTTTTTGGCCTTATTTATATTTCAAACCAATTAAGAAGCATGAAACAAATATCATGAAAACAATCCAGCAAAATGTACTTACCAAAGAATGTCAACCGATGGCTTTACCATTCCAGTAAGAAGTCCAGACAAGTCATGGGTTAATTTTTCCAGGTCACGAGTGAGTCTTTGGTCCGCATCAATACTATTGCCTGACATGTGGAAGACCTGAAAAGAAGATATGAACCCAATGAGATCTTAAGTGTCCATAAATTTGCTACATCAACTTAAAAGAAAAGAACAATGAACAGTCTCTATGAAGCATAGAATAGCCCCAAATAGATATCCATTTCAGATTGGTAATCTCAGCATATTTCTTACATGTGTAAGGAACTTTCTTTTTAGCCTTTATGTCAAGTTTCAATATAAAACTCAAGTTCATAGTCATAATTCACAATGCATGAAGCATGTTAGCATAGTATCTTTGAACATTATAGATTTGACCTGACCTTGTAAAACGCATTATTTCTCAAGTAATTCCGTAACAGATGTTGAGTCAAGCGAATTCTCCACCCTAGAGCTAGCCTTTGCGTAAGATGCCTGAAGAAAATGTAGCAAAAAAGGTTAGGTGAAACCACATAAGCAAGGGGTGCCTTAACCGTAACTAATAATCTAACAAAACTAATTTCACAATGAGGTTTTTAAATATGCATAAAAAGGAAAGATTACTTTAATGAAGGAGCGATGACAGAGGATGCACCACTTTGGAGAACACTCAAACCAATCAAACGAACAAAGGCTGCCTTATCTTGCTCCAAGACATATTTTACAGTGGTCCCTGAAATATCATATGCGGTTGTTAAAGAAAGGAGCCCTATCAATAAAACTAATCAGGTAACAGAAAGGAGTATGTTTACCATTCAATGATGCTATTCGGTCAGAGATCAGTGTTCTTGAGACGACAAGGCAAGCAACCAAAAGAAGTTGTCCTCCTTGTTTGTCAAATAGAGTGGGTATCTGAAACGTAACAATGAAATGGTCAGATACTTTTACCACTAATGTGGGATGAATTAGCCAAGCGGAACAAATAGTACGGCTTCACGGAAGCGAAGGAAATACATTGATATGCATATGTATTTTTCTAAGTTAATGAAAGTTGGTACAATAGTTTTTAATAAAATTCACAATAGTAACTCAAGCTCACCAATGTGTTCAACATTGCAGCTACTCTTAATGGCAACGCCCTTGGGGAAGTTCTAGGTTGAGGAAAACGAGGTAACCCAACACTTTTATCAACAACCGGTGATTTCTCGATTAACTGCGTCGAGTATGACTGAGCCTTTGAATTAGTAGTGGCAGATTCCTACATGGCACCAAGTAACAAGGTTACAACCACCAAAAAAAAAGCACCCCTCAACGACGATTAAAAGAATATTCATGAGCTGACCTTTCTGGCTGCAGCAAACGCTCGTTGAACAACCATTGCATCATTTTGCCGATTTGTATCTGAAATTTGCACTGAATCAACTTCAGCGTCCGTCAGAAGTACAGATTCGTCCCTGAAAGTTTACTCATTTTGAATAATATATGTATAAACTTTGATAATCCTCAGAAACATGGTTAAGAAATAACTCCAACCTCTTGTAGTGAACATTCCATCCACCTTCTCCGTCTAACGAAAGAATAACATCATGGAATGCAACAAGGGCTGGACGATGGGATATTGTTATGCAAGAAGTTCCCATAGCTCGAACCTTAGCAGCAAAACGTTCTTCCATATCAGTTGTCACAGCACTTGTGCATTCATCAAGAATTGCAAATTTGGGTTTGTGGTAGAATAGTCTGGCCATTCCCAATCTCTGTTGCTCTCCAAGAGATAACTCATCACCCCAGTTAACCTCTCTGTCTGGTTGGTATCGATCCAATAAATATTCTAGATCGACCTACAAGCAGCCGTCACAGAAATAAGTAAGACACACGAACTTGAGAGAAAACGAACTTAAACCACACAAACCATTATCCTAGAGAATAGAGAAATTAGGATACCAACATTTTTCAATAGCTCCACCATCCCCGTCTCAGTGAGTGGTACAGTCTCTTGATCAGAAGTAAGAGGATATATTAACTGGTCACGAAGTGTTCCTACTGCCATATAGGGCCGCTGAGGGACGTAGAAGATCTCCTTGTTAAGATCAGAACCAACTCCTGGCTTCACAATATGCCCAGAAACCAGGGGCCATAGACCTCCTAGTACTCGGAAAAGGGAACTCTTGCCACTTCCATTGGGACCTACGATACATATTGATTAATAAATAATGAAATGG